CCCTCCCTCCAACTTGGAATGAAAAATAAATATGTAATGGTTGAAATGTTTTCACAGGAAAGAAACTTTGTTTTCCTCACCAGATTGGTAAAGATAGTCTAACATCAGATCCAAAAAATATCCTCTGAGAATACAGGGAATGGCTCAAAGGCTGCAGGAAGCGATCAAGGCTTGTCTCAATGCTGTCAGCGTGAGTTTAATTTAATAGCAAAGGCTAACACAGTACCAGGAGGAGGAAACCTCACAGCACCAAAACAAGGAGGAGATGAAGGAATGCTTATCTCAGACATAAACAAAGCTCTTCTTTCAGTGAAGGAGATAGAATTGTTTATGTCTTCTCTTTCTCTCTTGCTTGAGGACATGTTTTCCCCTCACTTGTCATACAGAAAATGGCCACCTAAGATAGCTATCCCATAAACTGCCTGGCATCATGTGACATGCACCACTTTCTCATTGTGGTGCATTAAAAATACATGTGTATTGAATCATGCAATGACTTCATTGACAAGTGAAGTTTTTGCAGCACTTGACTCCTTAGGTGGAATAAAGGACACTGCAGTAAATATAATTTTATGAATGATAAACGGCCAGGATTTGTCAGTGCTATTGTGTTCAGTTCCAAGAGGAAGTCACTGTGAATTATTAATTTTGCTGAATGAATCTCCAAAAGAGTGTTAAGAATGTTCTGTTTAAAAAAAAAAAGTATCTCTCACTACACTATGTCCTTTCCTTCAATGAAAACTAAATCTTGTTTGAAAGGCTTATAGCTAAAATAAAAGGGAAAAAAAAAGCTTTAAAGCATAAGGTAAAATTGTTTCATTATCAAAGGCATGGCAACAAAAGATTGTCTAGAATAAAACAAGCTACCAAAAAACTGCCCAGTCAACTAATATTCAAAGAATTGTCATCTTTGCAGACTTTGAAGTAGGAGTAAAAAAGTTCAGATCTTCACAGCCACTGAAGAAGAGATGGTCTCAAAGTTGAGAAGAGACGGTCTCAAAGTTGATCTTTTTCTAATTATAGAAATGCCACTCACTCACTGGTTCCTGTGTGAATAAGCTTTACACTTCTGCCTCTTTGAAGGACTTCAAACATGCAGTAAACCTTGTCCCAAATCATGACACTTCTCAGATCTAAAATATTTTTTAATTAGTTAGTTTTGGAAAAAAAAAAATGAGTAACCTGGGACTATAAATCCTATAATACTATTATGTTTATATATTGTTCCTGCAGCATTTCACTTTAGGGCTAAGTAAAGGGGATTTGGTCATCCAGATTCTTCTCTTCCATCTCCCATCCACTGAACATGAACTAAAACTTAGCACCTTAACTGTGGATTTCACAGGTTTATGACCTTGATTTTGTAGTAACAACAATGTCCTTTTAATCTGATATAGCACATTTATGATACATGCTCTCAAATATAACCCCTCTGAAAGCATTCACTTGACTTGCAACAAGAATTTGGCCCTAAAGGCCTCTCTTTTCACAGCTTTAAAACCATTCTTCATCCTTGTCGAATTCTGGACATCCTGGACTGGCTGAAAGGGAAGCCCATATGTCTTCCAGGGACAGCCATGATCAATTTAACATCCCATAGGGGCAGAGCTTCTGGAGCGAATCAAGTCATTACTGACTATAAATCTGTATTTTCACAATGACTGGGAATACTTTCATGCCAGTTGACAACAAGACCTTCAATTTTAACTACTTTTATTTTCAATTCCTGCTTGACCAGAAAGACTGGAGTAAAACAAGTGTCAGAAGTTTGGCAAAATAGAAGAACTATACAAACCAACATATTTCAGTTAGCTTCAGAGTGCGTTTAACTATTTGATTTGTTGATATTTTATGTGAAAACTCCCTTCAGAATAATGCAATGAGAAAACATGTAAAAAAGGCTAGTAAAATCAATTTATGCTTGTGAGACTACCCCAGTCATTTGGGAATCTGTTCTGAAAACACTATGGTAACCCACAGGAGACTGACCATTGATTTCCCCCCCAAAAAAAATTTTGCATGAGTGCGGCATGCAGGATTTGATTCTCCAACCAAAGAACAGCCTGATAGAAATCCTAGGGGAAAAAGATTCACTATGCCTATATGACGTAGGCATATAATAACAAGAAAACCAGTGCGGCACAAAGGTTTTGTTATCAACCTAAATGTATGTGAGGATCAGAACAGTGAGGTGATCTGCAAAGGACTTAGGATGATTAAAAGTTACATAACTGCTGAAAACTCAGACAGTACCTAGAGCTTCTCAAACTCAGTGACAGCAATTGAGTCTATTAGGGGAATAAGACCATTGCAACAATGGAAGGAGGATGCAGATCAGAAGTTCATTTTAAAAAAAAAAAAAAAAAAAAAGAGGAGTCAGGAGAGATTGGATTTGAGATTATGGTCTGGTCTGACTTCTTACCAGAGATTTTATTTTTTGTTATGCTCTACTAGGATTTATTTCTACATTACTATTCAACCTCAGCTTTTCCACTTTCTTTTTTTGAGGGAGGGGAAGCAGAGGACAGTATGTCTAGAAATCACAACAGACATGCAATATCATTAACTAAATATTCACGGCATGGCATGCCTACCTTTACAAATATAGTAGAGTTGCATTCTTGTAAAGCCTCCATTAAACTAATCACATGCAGGCACACCATTTCCACCATCTTGGAAAAAAAAAAAGCATAAAAAGAAATCAGTGTCTAGCATAAAAGTGTTGTAAGCGAAGCCAACAGTCTCTAAAAAGAATCTTCCTGGTTTTTCTTGGCAGCTATACTGAATCGCTAGATGCATATTTATTAACCACTGACATGTAAAATTAAATATTACATGAGCACATAAGGGACATTTGTCTTTAGTTTTCCCCTGATGCAGCACACCTGTTAAATATGTCACAGTGCTTGATGTATTTTAATTCTTATCACACATCAAAACAAGTTGCCTTCAGCTTTGTTCTTTTGAGACATCATAAATCATTTTACATGCCTTTGCTGTGTAGTTCTCACCAATCAGTTTGTCATAAATTGATATTTTTATTTACTGAATCTTTGAAAATTAACATACCCACAAAACTCATCATTTTTTCCCCCATCAAAAGACAATTTATTGCTCTGAACTGGCACCTAGTCCATAATTCTTGCATTTTGTACCATGAATCATGACAGATGCAAATATCAATTATTTGGTAGCAGACAGCATTTTATGTTTTATATTGTGTAAATTCATAGGTACAAGAAGATACCCTGAGCCAGCAGTGAGTATTTACAGCGCCTGTCTGAACTATGTGTAAATTCCCCTCAATAATAATAAACGTAGCCTGTTCTGTAGTGCTTTTCATCTTCAAAGCACTTTACAAACACTAATTAACCTCACAATATCCCTGTGAGATGGGCAAGCATTATTATCTACATTTCACAGAGCAATAGCTGAGGCAGAGTTTAATAACTTGCACTAAAGCCACATAATGAGATACTTTCAGAATAAGGATTGGAACTTGAGACTTCCAGGTCATATTCTTGTCCTAAGGCTTGACAAGAAGCCTTTGTGTCTGACTAAACAACTGGCTAGTTAGAAGCGTTATGCACGTTTCCTGTTCATTCAAATGGAGCTTCATGAACTACTGTTCCCAACAGTGACTTGTCAACCACAGAGACCTCACTAGATGTCAGAGGCTAAAATATCGTTTAAAGACAGCTTTAGGTGGTCCTTGCCTGGAAAGGACAAGACACAAGGGAACAGTAGCTGATTCAAAGACATTCAAGTGCAGCCCATGCAATTACAATTGAAAGGGCAAAGGTCCATACCTGCCTGGGGTGAAAGATGGCTCACATGGGGAACAGGGAATTACATAAAATAATTTCCATATAAATAGCAAGTCTCCATTTAAAAAAGAAAAAACACCCAACCAAACAAGGCATGAAAACCTCAAACCTTAAGAGCATCTGACTTAGAGGACTGGGCCTCATATAAAGAATACTTCTCACTCAAAGCTAGTATCAGGTTCTCCAGCACCAGAGCTACTAGTTACCATCTCAGTTAAAGTTAAAAAGTGGGAAACACTTTTTTTTTTTTTTTTTTTTTTTTGGTCTTCCCCTCAGAAACAAGCTCTCAACCCTAAGCCTGCAGGCCCAGAGAATCATTAGTCAATGGGAAGCAAAGGTAGCACCTATGAGAAGGCTGCTGGAACCCCTCCGGGTTCTTATTGTACAAAGCTGCTCCAACAGCAGTGTGTAGTTGAGATAAATAAATGCTTAAAAGTTATTTCCAAAAAATGGTTTGGATGATTTGTGGACATAGTGAACATTTCCCTTTCAAACCTTCTCTCTAGACATACCTCCTTCAAGTCATTCATTACTCAAAAATGTTTCCAGAGATACTTATGTAGCTTATTTTTGATGAGTAATCAATGGGTTATGAGTAGTCAAGTGCCAGCATTTGTGTTCAACATCATGTGGTAAAAAAAGAGTCAAAGGGATATAAACAGAATTACCCTAAAACACTTAGCTGCTCCTGTAAGGCAGGAGTCAGATGAAACAACAGGACCACTGTGAAGAGCAGGAAGATATATAAAATGAGACCTGATGCAGGGAGTCCTTAATCCAACCAGCAGTGACTCTAGCTCCTGATTCTGTTTCAGGCAGATCCTGGCTAGATCCTGTTTCAGGCCCACTACAACGTTAAAACACTAGTAATTAACCTTAATTTCTCAAAGGCATCAAAGTTGCTTTCTGACATTATTCATGGTCTGATGTATTCCACTGAAACATTGAAACAAAGCCAAGCCCTCTGAGTTTATTCTGTATTAAATCTGTACACAGCACCTGACTCACCACTTTGTTATGTGCCATCAGCTGTAGGATGCTAGGTGTCACTCGGCTCCAGAACTCCAGGGCTGTGAGGATTGCTGTAAAGCTAAATTCATTCTGATTCTGGACTGTAGGGGCTACTGCTGTTTGCTCACAATACACTGTCCAGAGCTGAGCAAATATAAATGCATGGAAGAGGGAACACATGTGCAGAACAGATGTCTGTAGAAACATAAAATAGAAGAAAATGTGTATTTAAATAAGTGTATTGGGACACAGCGCAGAGGCTTTCATCAAAGCACTCCTCCATCATGTATCTCACTGTGCAGTCTTGCCCCTCACTTTCCCACGCTTCTCTCCTATTAGGAACAAGTAAATCAAGTACACTCAATAAAATCTTCTCTATGTTTAAAAACTGTTTTTATATTTACAAACTAAAAACTGTGTTTGCATACACACACTCCCATGTAATCTTAGTGTAAGGCATTAAGGTCAGTCCCTTTAAAGAGAAGGTTAGTTTTGCAGAACAGCTACTCAGGACTAGTTCTGAAACTTTCTTGATGGAAAACTCCACTGCAGTCACTGGAAGGCCTGGAGGCTCTGGCACTGTATGGCTGTGTTTCAAAGATGGTGCTGGGGTTAAGTCATTCAGATTCTGATCACCTGAAAGGAAGGCTATCGTACAAAATATAACATCTTACATCTGTTCTGTTAATCTGTCATCCATTTCTACCTTGCTGGGACAGAAATGCTCAAAGTCAAGGAAAGTAAGTTTTGAAAAGCTAACAGAGAATTCATTTTGCATACTCAAATCATGGCTCTTTGCTAATACATGTTATGTATCGCAGTGTCCAAGACTCCAGGAGTGATGGACGTTAACTACTTCATTACAAGAAAACATCTCTTTCTCAGTCTGCAAATGTAACAGTGATTCATGCTCTGTGGCAGTACGACTGCACCAAACATTGCAATGGTTGCCTGGTAACTGGAAAGAGGTATTTGAAAGAGCAAAAAAAGGCCAAAGAAATGAATGGCAAGCACTGGTGTCTTGGCTGGGTGAGGGGAAAGAAAGAGGGAATTTACATACAAGATAAATGTGTAATCATTCTGCTTCTGTTGCTAATAAAAACCTGGTTGGTGTCAAAGAGTGCTGCTATATCTGTGTTAAACTACTGTCACAAATGGCTTATGATTTGCAATAACTCTTCTTGTCCAGAGCACCTCGAGAAAAAAAGTTGTGCTTGAACCATCACTGTTTGTAATTAACATTTAATTATTTAATTTTAATAAACATTTAATTACATGTCATTAATTTGGTCATAAAATTATTCATAGCAACTAGAATAACTAACCTTCTAGAGATTTGTTATAGAGATGGTCATTGCTAAAGCTTCAATTTGGAATTTAGTTTTTCCTTCCTCACTCCTATGCTGAGGTATTCTGGAATACTTGAATCTCAGGCTTAATTGTGGTGATTTCATCACCAGTTTTCTATGCATGAAGAGGCACACAAGAAATCCTAGATCCCAGGTTTTAATAAAGTTTTATCCCAGAAGAAATATGTAAGTGTTTCTTTTTTTCTTAAGAAGAAATAAATAAGTGTTTACAATAATAAGGCCAGTATATTACACATCTCCACTTAAAACACAGAATCCCTTACCTTTGATTGCTCTGGAAACCCAATCAGAATAACAATAAGGTGGTCAGCAACTTGTGAACCCGCATCCAGTGGAATAGGCATGCAAGATGACGGAGAATTTGGACAGACAACGTTGTGTGTCAGAGACCCCAGAAGTAGCCAGGACAGCAAACGAATGTGAGACACACATTCTATGAACTCTTTGGGCCTGTCAAGAAAGAGCCTTGATTACATTACAATGATGCCAAGTTCTCTGGTTTTCCCCAAAATATGGAGTCTCCTTATGCACACGAGGCAGATGCAGTCCCAGTGTGCTGGAGGGACAGATCATTGGTACAGCTTATGGGAAGACTAGAGCCACACAGAACTTGGTGGACTTGATGTACCATTAACAAGTCCAACAGAACATATTTGGTGGCTCTCAGAAACAGTCTCTATAAAAGGCTGAAACAGTCTCTATAAAAGACTAAAACAGTCACAGATTCAGCGGTTCCATACACAGTTATTTTTCACACAGGAATCATCAGAAGGGAAGGGCTGCCCAAGTGGAAATGCTCCTCCCAGATCCCTTGGACAGCACATGGCTGACAGGGCAGGAAATTCTTCATTCCGTAGAGAGCGCAGAGGCAGGTTAAGTAAGGCTTACACAGTAAGGCTGTGCCTTACTTCCACTATGTTCCACTTCTTCATTGGTAAAGTGGAGATAATTTCTCAATTCCTTAGCCTCTCCTTGGACATTGGCACCGCATGCTTTTGAAGGCAGTGACTATGCTTTTTTGTGACACTTAAGTATTAATCCACCATCTAGAGCAATGTCTAATTGTAAAGCAATGTGCTTATATAATCTAAAAAGGAGTAACACTTTTCTGGTGTCATCTTGTCTGTCCCCTTGCTGCTACAAAATTCAGATTACATACTCATTTGAATTCATAGGCACAGGAAAAAAATAATTGGTTTTCGATCAATAAATCGCAACTTACTAGGCCACTCTCACTTACTGTTTTTCATTTCTGATTTCATGTCATTGTCAAGGACTCACAGCACCAAAGAGGCATTCTATTAATTTATTTATTTTTTAAATAGACTCTGGTACAATGCTCTTCCTCAAGTACTTACAGGGTCTTAAAGGAATTCACTACCTTCAACTCAGAACACATAGTCCTTTTTTTACATGTGAGAAACTAAAGTGCAAGGAGATAACTCCATATTTCCAAAACTAGATATGCTCTACATGAAAGTACATGCAGACGTATCTACAGGACTGGAGCCTAAGCAGCTTAGGCCCCAGAATCCTGGGGCAGGCAGTCTGCGACAAAGCCTGGACAAGAATACAGGTTTGTTGAAACACAGTCCAACAGTCTACACTCAAAACATGTCGTTCGTTGTCATTGTAAGAAAAGAGACAATATCTCCCTTCACTTTGAAGATAAAACTGCAGATTATGAGTTCTCACAGTGAAAAAGGATATAACAGATGTCTTGAAGAGCAGGATTTCTCTCACCTAACTTCAACCAGATGAAGTTAGTATTTCTATCATCATATCAACAGGCTACAGTTCTCGCTCATTTGTACTCCATATTTTCAAAGAATTTCTCTGTAATCCCCAACATATTTTCTATAATTCTAGGACTGATCAAGTGCCTGTGTGTTTTGCACCATCTGTATCTCGATCAAGAAACAAGTTAATTTCCAGGGTAACACCAGTCAAGCCAATGGAGTTACCTCCACTGTTCCTTTGGCTTGTACTTTAAATATTGCATTGATGAACTCCTCAATTAAGGATCAGGGAGCTCCTGACCAGCTGTTTCAATGTCCCACGGCCACCATTCACTACTGCAGGTCTTATCTCTGAAATCTGGCAATAAACACAGAATTTTGTGAAGATTTCTAACTCATTTTAGTATTCCTTTTCGTGGAAAAGCATTCTCACCCTTGTTGCATTGCAGAAGGAGGATGGTAAAGCCAAGGCAAATATCGGATCACAGCTTTGTTGTCTCTGTGGTTTCCCCGTGTGATTTCCATAGCAGCAATCTGAGCTAAACCAACTTTCAGATGTCCACCAAATGTGTCTTCATGCAGTGGCTGAGAACAAGTCTTCATGTGACTCTGCAAGGGAAAGATCTGATTTCATACCTGAAAAGAGTATTTCACTTGAACTAAGTTCCTCCAAGTAACAGAGTATTCTATTTCATTTCCCTTCAGTTCCTTTCTCGAGGTCTCTAACTACATCTATAAAACTACAGAACAAAAATCTCAGAAATGTATTTTAAAAAATTCTCCAGTCCCTATATTAGTAACAGCTTTATGATGCAGATCTTTCCACAGAAGGCACCATTTTCAAGAACCCAGACAAAATACTAATTGTACAAAATGTACAGGCACCACCTTTGCATCAGCAAACTCAACAGCTAATGAATACAAACTAATGGTTGCACATCCAGACAGCTTAAGTGAAGCTGAAAGAATCTAACCATTTAACAAGATAGCATCTGGGCAGGAAATGCCTTCCCTGTGCAATATTCCATTTACATGTACAGAAATAAGCTGTCACTCATTCACCGGCAATATGACTGTGTTGCACTATTCAGCTGTTACAAATGCCTTTCAGCCCTGGAAATAAAAGTAAACCTTTTACCAAGAAACATGCAAATATTTATGCCTGAAAAGATAATTTATTATCCTGCTTTGTCAGCTCTAAGGAATGTTTCATTAGTGCTTCTTGAGATAATTCTATAACTCTAATTAATCCAGGTCATCAGTTATTAAATTATTATAACAGGATAAAAATCAGTGGACAACAATATTTTATAACAGTTAAGTATCTGAGCCCAGCAACTTACACGCTCAAAAATCACTTGAAGCTTCTTTGAAGAGAAAAAAAGGTAATATACCAGCATGAATATCTGACAACTTTGTTACAGAGCCAGGTAAAAAGGACAGACAGGTATGCAGGCAGATACATTATATTTCTTAAAAAATGGTGGAATTTTCTAAATAAAATATTGCTGAGCTTTACCAATTAAAATGCACAGAAACAATAAACTGGAATGTGATTATTGTGAGAATTAACATAACTTTTTTATAATGCAGTAATCACTAATATGCAGGACTGAAAACAATTAACCTCTTTCAAAGAAAGCATTCTCAGACATGCAAAATAAGACATTGGAAATGAATAAACAGCTTTATTTTTGTTTATTGATTTTCTAAAGAGAGTAGCAATTTCAAAATTTTAAAACCAAGATTAAACCTTTGCTGTTGGGATTGTTACTGGCCATATAAATCATATAGCATTCTTTGTGTTAGTTTGGTAGTCCAGATGCTGTTGATAATACATACTCGTAGTAAGAAGCTATACAGCTGGATAATCTTAGGACTCAATTCCTAGGAACACCTCTGTTAATAAAACCCAAGCACTATAAGTAAATATATTAAATGAGGTTACAGGAATTTGAATCTAGATGTTGTGAATTTGTTTAAAGTTATGACTACTTGTAGACTTAGAAATGCTTACAAATCTTTTCCCAACTATGTTGGAACCAGAGAATAAGTTTATCTGGTCTGGTTAAATAAGAACTGCCTTTTCATTTTCCAAAGACAGCCCAAACTTATTCTTTACATCACATAAAATTATTGTCATATTTGACTCTCCTATTACATGAACCTTGATCTCAGATTCCTGTATTACATGGCTGTCCTGGTTTCGGCTGGGATAGAGTTAATTTTCTTCCTAGTAGCTGGTATAGTGCTGTGTTTTGGATTTAGTATGAGAATAATGTCGATAACACACTTATATTTTAGTTGTTGCTAAGTAGTATTTATACTCAGTCTAGGACTGTTCAGCTTCCCATGCTCTGCCAGTGAGGAGGTGCACAAGAAGCTGGAGGGGGCACAGCCAGGACAGCCGACCCAGACTGGCCGAAGGGATATTCCCTACCAGGTAACACCATGCTCAGCATACAGACCAGAAGGGAGTTTGCCAAGGGGTGGTGACTGTGGCTTGGGAACTGGCTGGGCATCAGTCAGCCGGTCGTGAGCAATTTTATTGTGCATCACCTGTTTTGTATATTATTATTATCATTCCTTCCTTTTCTGTCCTATTAAACTAACTTTATCTCAACCCATGAATTTTACTTTCTTTTCCCCGATTCTCTCCCCCATCCCACTGAGGGGGAGAGTGTGCTAACGGCTGTGTGGTGTTTAGCTGCCTGCTGAGTTAAACCACAGCAAGTATTTTTTTAGAACTCAATGGGATTCAAGGCATATGGTCAACAGGGTAAAAACTTAACAAAAGGGACATTTTTTCCAGTAAAAAAAGGTTACTGCAAGTTTCAAGAGACATTAGTTTCAGTTTAGCTGGGATTCTTCTTCCTTTGTAGTAAGCATTATTAACTTGCCATAAGGTCTCCCCTTCTGAGGCATGAGGTGGGGTGGAGGGGGCAGGGGGACAGTGAGCCAGTGAGTGTGCGAGAAACGAGTAGGGTAACAGTTTTCTTCTCATTGCTTCATAAATAAACTCCAGTATCAAAATCCACTATGGGTTATCATTTATTCTGTCTTGCCTGCCACAGAATGCTTGCATGAACTTGTGGAATGAAATACTCCAGTGTGTTTCCAGGACTTTCAGCAAAGGACGGGGGCAGAAGTAGAGGGGCCCTTTCAGGGAAACACTATAGTGATTTATCAGGAAAACAGACCATCGACACCCTTTGTTAGCAGATGCACTCTGTGTTACAGAAGCACAAATGGCTCTTGAGGTTAGAAACAAATGCAAGAGCTTGGTCAAAGAACTTCCCTAGAAAACCACATGCGCCAAGCCCAGGCACGTAAGCGATGGCAATGTGATTCGTACCAGCCAGAACAGGACAGCACTGCTTTTCTGTATCTGTCAACTGAGCTTCAGATCACATAAAAGCAGCTTGGCAGCTACTTGACTGTGCCCAGTGATGAAATGACCTCCTTCAGTTGACAAATTTTCCCTCGGATCACCGAATGGCTGGTGTACAAGGACTAAAACTCCTACTGAGATTTCAGAACGAACGGGATGCATCTTTGACAGCATAGACTATCCTCCATACCTGTAACGGTCCCTCTGCTGCACTCCCACACCATCCATTTGTCCTGCCAGCTTTGCGCAAGTTAGAAGCACCTAACTAGTCACACCTCTGCCTCCATTTCATGTGCTGAAGGAAATCCACCCTCGTGCAGGGTACCCACATGTAACTCAAAGGACTGCAATCTAACTTTGCCTGGCATTGAGAACTGACAGATGGTTCCCCTATAAGACATGGGCTTTCCCTCTGCAAAAAGGATTTTACCACCAAAGTTTCACCTCCAGCTCAGTGCTCACATAGCACTCAGCTTCAGACGGTACAATAGAACTACCTGATGGGATAGTGTTATGCTAAATAAAATATATATTGCCCCCTCCACAGCAATATGACTGAACATTAGCAATATATTAAGTGAAATATTTTATTTAAGCTATTAACAGTAGATGCTACTTTGCTAGCAAATGAAACAGCTACACTTCCATTATTTCCTATTATACAGCAGCAATATTGCTTAGCCTAGTTCTTTTCTAAAACATCTTGAAGAATTTCCATTTTTTAGGAAATTTAATAGATACTAGCTTCCCTCATAAAACAGAAACTCCAGGTTTTGACCAGCTAATTATTACCACCATGTTTTCATGAAATTCATTCCTAAATAAAATATTTTATGTTGACAGAAGTATTTTCCTATCACTCTTCTTATAATTTAGCATCAAAGTAATGTACAGAAACCAAACAGCAGGTTGGACTACATAGGTAATGACTGCTCAGTTTTTCCCACCTGAACAGAATATAACCTGATAATGAAAACAACATCATCCATATGAAAAAGGACTCCCCCCCCCCCTTTTTTTTTAGGTCAATTACTGCATTTTAATAATCTCTGAGCTTCCAATTAACTTAACTGTCTGTTTGTTTATATATGAGAGACACAGGATTCCTCCAGAAGAGTGTAATTAGTTGTAAAGGCAAAGAGTTTTATGTTTCCACGGGTTATATTAAACACTACTACTTCTCACAGTGATTTTGGTATGACATTAGCTTATCATCAACATTGCAGGAAAACTTGTCATTAGCTTATCAGTATTTCAGAAAAATCAAGCCTGCATTTTTACTGTGTGCTCTCTATATTTGAATCAGCCCCCATTTCAACACTGCATAAGCTACTTTTTACTGATCCCCCAAAAGTGTCTAATCCATAACAGTACAAATATTTTTTTAAAAAAAAAAGAAAAAAAAACCTCAAAGACTTCCAACTGTTTCTCCCAGGCAGGTTCACTACAGAAAACATGTTTTTGTTAAAAAAGCACATGTATTTTAAATCAATGTATGCCCAGAACCAACCTTTAATTTTGTTAAGGTATGCATATCTGCAATGAAATCCAGCACTTCCCCAACATATTGCCTCATGCATTCCATTGCTGCTGTTCCACACTAGAACATAAAAGAAATAAGTTTAAATACCAGATTTCAGATACGTTCATGTTTCTGTCTTTGTTTCTTGTTCACCAGAATACAACTTTTCTCTCTCAAATTCTCTATTTTACTTTTTAGTTCAATTACTTTAATTACGAATAGTTATTCTTTGACATTTTCAACCTTAATGATTCTGTGATTACCATCATTAGGTATCTTTTTTTAAATTTGTTTTTATTAGGTATCTTTTTGAAGATGCCAAAACCTACTGTAGTTTTTACAAAGTCATAGGCTCAGGGCAGAACATTACAGTAAAGTTTACAGGAGAAAACTACTTACTCTGATGTCTATTTAATTGCCTACACGTTGAGGCACAGAAGCTATTACCCTATCTTGAGTATACAAATGAACCAGATTTAGTTGTGATCACAAAATTATTAAGCCATAATGGAGTTTTAGTGGCTGAAATTTGAAAAACTGCTAGCATTCTATTTTTAAGCAACTGATCTGGGTGCTTCTCATTTTTGTATGTTAATATCAATCTACACTGTGTTGAACTATACCGCCTTCTGGCTTTTGAAATGCTATGCCTGTCAGTTCCCTTGACAGAATAACAAACAGGAAAACAAGGTCACTGGTAGCCCTGTCAGCATATCCTCCATCCAGTTTATTTGGACTAAGGATTCCACATGGTTGCTAAAATACTGAATAATAGAATTATAAAATATACTATACTCAGACCTCAGAAAATAATGCTCAGTTGCAAAAGACTTCTCTCCAACCATCTATTCTGTTTCATTCAAGCAGCAGGCAGCCTATGGTTTCTTCTGAAATGATCGCTTTTCTACCATACCTTGTAACACCAATGTCAGTCTATCTATTTAAAGCAAGCATATATTAAAATATTCTGTTGGGAGGAAAGGTGTTATTAAAGATTTTCATTAAAAAAAAAAAAAAATCACACACTTCAGAAGACAGGAAGGTCCTACTAGGAAAGATCCTACTAGGTCAGCCCTAAAGCTGACAGAGACACACATATACACAAATGAGTTTTCCTCAGCTTCTGAACCAGATCTGGGCTAACCCTCATCCATCTGTTTGGGTACTCAGTCACATGTGTCATGGAACAAGTCAAGACCTTCAATTGTGCTACATCCTCACATATTCACCAGGTGTATATTCAGTACCTAGGCAATTAGGAGTTCTGGTAATTTAGCTACACTTAACAGCAGGATATAGGTTAACACATTACCAGAAAAATACCATTCACTCCTTCTTTAACCAGATAATCTTTTGTGAGAATGGAGGCAATGGCTTGTGGCTTTCCTCCCTGCAATTTTTCCTCAATTTTTTGAGGCATTCAGATGGTCTGTTCCCCACATGTTGACATCCTGATCGCAGGCTCAAGCTGCAGTCAATTACATGACTAAAGATTATCAGTGAAAGTAAGGGAAGCAACGTCAAGATCAGAACTTTTCCAACATTAATAAAAAGGAAGAAGCATCTCAACCTCTGCCTGCAATACACCTTGCCAACCAGAAGAGAAATGAAAAGGAAAGAACATTAAAATGAAGCAAAGTGAGCTGACTACGATAAATTTTTTTTTAAAAAAACAAAACTAAGAGATGGAGTTTGATTCAGTACTTACTCCGGGCATAGAGGCAATCATCTGTTTATGCAAGATTGTTGACTCAGCTAGTTTTGTTCCAGCATCTGCACAAACAAACTAAGAAGAAATTAAAGACAAGTTATTTTTTTATTTTTGGAGGAACCTGAAGACACTAGTAAGTTATAAATGACTTTATTAAAATCACTTCAGATCTCTTCTTGCTTTTATTCATGGTAATTTGCCTTTAGAGCTCTCTTTCTTTATAAAAAACCTGGTTAACTCACCATTATAAATGAGCTAATTTTAATGAAAAAAAAATTCTACTTTAATGAGCTTAATTAACACATATATGCTGTGCAGGAGCAATTTGAATAATATTTATTACTATATAATAAATCAGACATTCTTTATGAGCAAAATCTTTGCTATTCCTTGCATATCTCAAATGTTCCTCTTTCATTATAGAGTAAACCATGATAGAGGATGATAAGGCAGTGTGCCATGTTCTTCACTGTGATATTACAACATTTTCGCTGAAGTTCTACAATGTGAATTACATGAACAATTTTTTTTAACAAAGTTGAGAACATACTGGTATGGTGTGGTATAACTTCTGCATAATACAGGCCATAATGCTACAAAAACATAAGCTGTTTCTGACAGAAGGTCAGTATCGTTCTATTATAGTAGAATACCTCTAATTGCTTTTCTTATGCTTTTATTTTCCTTGCCTTTTTTTTTTCTTCTTTTTATTTCCCAATGCCTTGACCCAAAATCTCTGACGTCCACATCATTCATATATTAGATCTGCTAATACTGTTATTTAATCATTATAAGCTTCAATAATGCATTGGACACCCTGCAGATGATTTGTTTGTTCCTAAAACTTGTTGTCTTAATGTTGTATTTGCACTTGAGCAATTTCTGTCCATCATGATGCAATGTAAATTTTCTAAGAAAGAACAGACAGAAAAGAACTGTCAAACTAAGGTCTAAGCCTTAATTTTCTTTCTTGAAAATGAATACTGTGGTACCTTCAGAACCTGAGACAGGTATTGACCACACAATATATTTGACAATTGTCTGATGCATGTGTATTAGCAGTACTCTCAATGACTGACCGTTCTCTTTGAAGACATTTCGAAATATCCTTTACAGACCTAGAATTTACTTACACTTCCATGAGCTTTACCTTTCTATGACAGATTTAGTCTGAACTCAGACTGCCTACCAAGACTTGGAAACTACTCAACCTATGTCTTGACAAGTAGTCTGTTCTTTGGGATAAATACCAGAAAGAAAGACATACCCGAGTTTAGATTAATAATCTAATTAGGTATCCTCAGACATAGGCCTGGCTCCAGTTGACTTTTCTCCTGGTTAGAATTTATTTTACACCAGAATAAGCCAAATGGAAATAAAACAAGAATGTAACTCATAGTTCAGTTGAGAGGTGGCCTGGTGCTCTTCTGTACCACAGCTCTAATAATTACATGGGAAGCAAAAGAAAGCTTTAGGATTATGGGCCCTATCAATCCAGTAAAGACAGCTGAGTCTTAGTTCAAACAGCAACTATGACTCTCCACTTCTTTTTTAAAAGAAGGACCATTAATTGGGCAAATAGATGACCGATTTTCTCCTAATGCACCCTATCTCAGAAAGAGCAATGCTGATGCTGGGTCTGCTGGACAACAGATATGATATTTTCCTGTGTGAAGGATTTCTCAGTCAACCATTTGTGTGTAGATTAGGGTTCCCTTGTACTACCATTAGATGCATAAAAGGACCACAACACCCTGAAGAATCTGTATGTGTATATTTAGCATCCAACAGCAAGTTCACTGCACTGCTAAAGACATTGTACAGCACTCACCATATAAGTCAACAAAAAACCCTTGTCAAAGACAAATGTCATTTATTGCAGACAACATTTTCTTTTAAGAACAATAATAAGAAGCAGCAGCCAAAGCAACCTCTGCTGGCTTCCTGTAAGCTTTCTACATCTTTTGCACAGAGGAGTTTGGGTTAAGTAAGAGATATTAATTTATATGTGAAAAACAGCTGACAAACTCCATTCCATTCCTAATGAATAATTAGGCCTTGTTTAGCTTATCCATCTCATCATCAGACTGCCAGTTCCAAGGATCCTTTCTAAAGTTGCAATGCAGTTCAAAGAAGATGGAGAAACCAAACTCAAAATGAAAGATTTATTGTATTTCCAGTCCAATTCACTGTCATTTATGTTGTCTCCTTCCACGAATACTATAATACATTAAGATGTTACTGGCAAGAGATTTAATCCCAGCCATTATAAAGAAAAAAGTAAAGAAAAATACTGCCACACTGCAAAAAGATGAGAAATGGGCAAATAATTGCCATGCCTCTTACTAGCATTGTCTGCTGAGATATAGCTGCAGAATAATGTCTGAATGGGAATATCTGCTGATTGTAGTGAATTATCTATATACCATAATTTAGCTATATTATACCTCCATTCATAATCAAGAGTTTTTAAAATATATATCCTTATAAACATATTTTATATATATATTAAATTCTTCCATTCAGTAATTAGTAAACCAGATCTTCACAGAAACATAAACTGGAACCACTAGATATACACTGATTTACATGAGCTGAAGGTCCAGACCAAAATAGGAGGCACCTAAACAAAACAGGTCAGATAGATACACTGAACCTTAGAGCTTGACTGAATAAGCAAATCCTAATGAAACACTAATATAATTTGAAGTCAATGGAAATCCTGAAGATGTGGGCTGGTGAAATGTGAGTGGGAGAAAAGTAGTGAGAAACAAAATGCTGTGTGAAGATTCAGTTCCTATGGAAACCCATGGAACAGCAGCATGTACATGATTGCTTTTATTTGCTAGGATAAATCAAGGAGCCAGACTTTCTGTACCCTGTATCATCCAGGACACCTATGCAATGATTGGGGTGATCTGGTTAAAATTCTTATTCTTTGTAAAGTGGGATGAAGTTAACTCTCATCTTAGCACTGATGTCACCAGTGACACTGATGGCACCATGCAATCTGGATGGATGTGGGTGTCAAATGTACATTCCTAGAAATTCCTTTGTTAGTCAGCCCATGACTGATCTATCATCAAAGTGCTCCCAACTCCTTTGTTATCTTGAACATTTTGGCTGAATCTCTGTGCTGTGTGCACTGTCTGTATAGAGTCTCATATACAGGCTAGCATGTCCATGGGGACACGACTGTCTTGGAAATTAAAATCATTTCCGTTTGGTGCTGTGTTAACCCTGCTACAGCTTAATGGATTCAAAACCATCCAATTTGAGTTAATATTGTAGTGGCTTCCTGTGGTGAGGTGACCCAACCCCTTTATTCTATTAATGACACCAAAGAAAAAATAATGAAATACAGACGTGTTTTTACTAGTAGGTTTCTTAAATTACAACAATGCTTAAGATGGGTTTAGTGGTTACTATGGTATTTATATTCACAAGGCTGTTGAATGATTCAGACCACATACTACTGAGGGCTGCCAATTTGCACAGTCAATGGGAGAAGTACTCATCACGTCTACAGTAGGCATCTATGGCAGATGGTCTGAATACAACCCCTATTCTTTACCATTGACTGCATAAAACAGAATCTGGCTGCTTTGGATAGCAGGAAATATGAATCACTTCATAAGTCTCTGAAAGAGAGACACCATAAAAGACATTTATATCCACATTAGGTGCTGTTGTGTAAGGTATGAATACACCCCAAAGCACATACAGCATATGGGAACAGTGGTAGGAGGAAAACCCAGGCCATCATCATTTTATCTAGAAAGATAAAGATAATGTAAGAGAGAGTTTTGCTTACTATGTCTATCAGGTGATTGATTCGATGTGAAGGACAAGTGTTTACCACTTACTTAAACCCCACTGCCAAAACTGACATGGCATGTTTGCAGTCTCAAATGAGGAATTCAAGACTGACTACACTGTGGGATTTTGACCTTTTGAGGTACCACAGGACTGAGTTACACAACGGAGCAATGCAGAAAAATTGCTTTATTCTGTAATACAGGAAAAGTCAGTTCAAGTCAACAAACACCAATGCACACGGTATCAAGCTGCATCACTGCATCCATAAGACAGAAAGAGGTTGGTGGTTAAGTTATTTGATGGTCTTGGCTGGGACTGAAAAAAGAAGTGTGGGCTTATAAGGGAAGAAAAAAAAAGGTGGGAAATTTCTGCTTTTTAAATGAAAATGGACTAAAAAAAAAAACTCTTTACCATCAAAAGAAAAAAAACACAAGTATTATTCTTTCCCACCCCAAATTCTTCTCCTAACATTGATGGCATAATAATTGTTTTCAGAGTTAACCTAACTGCTATATAATTTCACTTGTCAGTATTATTTGTCTGTCAACTGGCAATCACTTATTTACTATGGGTAATGTACCAGTACTCAAAAGAAAATGAGCCCATAGTAAGCTATATGAAGCTTTGACCCCATAATAGGAGGTGAAAGAGTGAATGGAGCTGTGATCCTTGGAGCTTTATGAATGATCTACATAATGACCATCTTGCCTGAACCTTATGGAGTGCTGTTACGCTGGTCCCCTATCATTTAAAGTTACAAAACCCATATAATAGTTCATTGTAAACAATGAGAGCCCATCTGTGATGAAAATTGATGGATTTCAATAAATTGTTTTTGCAGGACAGGCTTGTGGTGCCAAACAGTGCCACACTGGGCATTTCAGAGGCAGCAAGATTTTTCACAAGTTTGTATCTTAATTCCTCAGATACACCTATGAAAAAGCTAGCTTAACCCCTATGTCAGCCATCTACAGAATGAAAGGAACAGAAATATTGTCTATGTATTCTTTGCTGGAAAATTCCATGTTAAAAAAGAACAGCCTTTAGGGACTGCGGACAGCTTACTTCCTGCCTGAATAGACAGAAACTGAGTTCTGGTCCATGATCAACGAGCACCCCTTCCCACACAAACTGCTCACTGGCTTTGGGGCTACGATATGAAGACAAGGCAACAAGTGGGGCAGCTGCCCCATCGGGACATGGTTTGAAGCTCTTGGGACTCGATCCTTATGGGTCCCTTCTAACTTGAGATACATTCTATGATCCTCGATACATCAGCAATGATGCACATGTCATTATTATCCTGGGAAATGTGGATTCTTAATTTAGTTTCTTAAATTTTAGTGTGGTAGTCTGAATGTATGCACCGATGGTTACAAATGTAACTGGATTTTGACTCAAAAAATTCTTGCTTCCCATGACATTGCTGGTACTTTCTGTAACCATGTTGGACTTGCTTCCCCCTACCCCCCCCCCCCCCCCCCCCGCCTAATTTTGGGCCAAGACAGGATCAGTACAAGAATTACATGAGAATCTCGTGTACCTGCACCAACAGCAGCAGATTCATGTCTGGTAAGGGTGATTTTAACTTGAGTGCCTGCAGTAACTCCAATATGACACTGCGTGTCAAGTAGAATTTGTCCCTTTCCTACAACAGAAAAACACAGAATTATGAATGTCCTGAAATTCACTGACACCCACTAGTAAACCATAAAGATACTTTTTATTTAAGTTTGAAAACAAAAAAGTTTAAAAAGTGTACTGGTTTCTCGGGTCTTATGAAAAAGTAGGTATAATTCATAATTTATGTAATTCTACAGACTTGAACGGACATCGATGAGGGTTATTCTCCTTTGACATTGTATCAGGTACTATATCCAAGATTTTAATATTTCACATGTGAAATAGACAGATTTTATAAAACAGTTATGGAGCCCAGGATTGCAGTGTAGCTTTCACTAAGTAGTTCCATATAAAGCAAAAAGGAGAATGCAGTAAGGACTGACACAGGAGAACAAAACTGGCAATAGTATTTACCATTATTCTTTCATCAAACCTGCCAGAAATGGTCTACATTTTACCATACTTTTTTCCTGCTGTCATTCGCCTTAAAATAAGTTGCCTGCACTAAGGCAGCTTGGACATCTATTTTTGTTTATTAGACTAGCAGTACTTTTCCATTTACACAATAAAAACCGTCTTGGCTACAGCTGCTACAACAGAAACATTTTAAAACATAGGGGAGAATCAGCTAATAGAGATTAGAACATAGAAGTCTAAGAATAGAGTTGCAGAGCTGAGAGTGCAAGGAGGTACAAGAGATAAGATGAGCCTATTATAGATCTTTCTTTGACATTTGCTGACTTTAGATGATAAGATAAAAATGTGGAACAAATCTACAACCTGCTACTGACCGCAGCAACTCAAGAATTCTGAACCGCAGGAGGACTTACACTGAGCTCTCTTTCACATGACCATTAGAGATTAAATCATGTCTAAGAAAGAGAGCATATCCAAAGGGTGCTTTAAGATTTAAAGGTTCGTGTCTTCCATCTTGTAAATCTTATGCACTTGCCTGCTCACTTAAGTTAAATGTGTGGAACTTTCTACTCAGTCAGGGCCTCAGTTCTCTGTGACATCTGTAAAATGGGATAATAATGTTTGCCTCTTCCTCAGAGAAGTCTTGTGAGGTTTAGTTAGTGAGGGTCTTCAAATTGACCCTCACTGGCCACCTCCAGCTGCACACAGTAGCAAGTGCAGCCAAAAGGGAAGGAGTTGGAGGAGATTAATCGCTGGAAGTGAAAGTGAGCTTGGCTTGCAGCAAACCAAGAAGCCAGTCACCAGCATTCCTCCTCAGAAAGCTGATGTCACCACATTGTATCTGTGTAGCATACCACCAAACAAAGCATACAGCAACAGTGCGTGCCTCCCTGCCGTGGTTTAACCCCAGCCAGCAACTAAACACCACACAGCCGCTCGCTCACTCCCTGCCCTGCAGCAGGATGGGGGAAGAGAATTGGAAGGGTAAAAGTGAGAAAACTCATAGGTTGAGATAAGAACAGTTTAATAATTGAAGTGAAATAATAACAACAACAACAAATTGTAATAAAAAGGAAAATAACAAAGAGAGATAAATAAAACCAAGAAAGACAAGTGATGCAAATGAAAACAATTGCTCACCACCAACTGACCGGTGTTCAGCCAAACCCTGAAACAGCAGCCCCCCGGCCAACTTTCCCCCTAGTTTTATTGCTGAGCATGACATCATATGGTATGGAATATCCCTTTGGCCAGTTGGGGTCAGCTGTGTCTCCTCCCACATACCTTTTAATGAAAACACATTTTAAATATTAGCCCCTGATTTGGGAGAAGGTGCCAAAACAACAGAATAGTATGTCTTTCACGGACATTATGATGCCAGTCTATGAATCAAGAGACTTTACTTCAAGCTCCTAGTTTGATCTTCAGTTGCATGGAGTGTGCAGAAAGATAACACATGCAGCTGATGGAATGGGCCCCAAACTGCACTGGTCCTTGGACTACATTGCTATAGTCTAGGCAGCTAAACTCACAGAAAGCTAACATTCCAAAATCAATTAAAAAGGAAAAAAAAAAAAAAAAAATCATTCCCTTATGGGAGCAGCAAGCACTGGATCAGTTCAGCTGTATTATGAAACCATTACTTGAGGGGACAAGTAACCAAAAGTCATACATCCCACATGCATGAGTGGTGCTCTGATAAGAATAATACAATAAAAGAACATCCAGAAGAGGTCAGACCAGAACAAATGTCCTCAGTACCTTACCTCCAATAAGGCCTTAAAGCAGATGCAAAAGGAAGAATAAAAACAAGGCAAGCATGTATAATTCCCACTATTACTCTCCTAGCCACCAACTATTTTCAGCTCAGGGAACTTCTGAGTTCAGTGTGGTTTCCATATAATTCATAACTCTCAGTGAATTTCTCTTCCACATTTGTTTCCACTGACTTCTTGGATCCCTGTCAATTTTTAGCACCCACAGTACTTGGCAAGGAGTCACACACTGTTGAAGAACCACTTCCCTTTACTTGCTTTGACACTGGTTCCTACAAAATATGTTGTTCTTGTACTGAAAAGGCATGAAATTACCCATGCCTGTCTGGTTCACTTGTGACCTGACAGACGTCTCACATTCCCATCAGCTGTTACTTTTTCAGACCGAGGAGCCCTAACTTAGTTGCTCTGTATGTGGAACTCATCCCACTGTTTGATTGTTCCTGTTACCATTACCTGAACTTTCTCCGATTGTACTATGTTCTGATTGGCAGCAGGGAACCAGAGCGGTGCACAATACTCAAGGTGCAAATAAACCCTGATTACTTGCTGCTGAATTCTAGCAACAGCAACCCCTCCAACTGTCGTATGCCTTCACGGTCTTGAGACACATAGATAAAGCAGTGCCATGCTAAGACAGTTGACAATTACATCCCCCAAAACACCAGACAGAAGTTCCTATCAGTGACCCGGTACAGTAGCCTGCACATACTGGAAGAGAGGTAAAACTCTTTCAGAAGCATTCGGCTATTTTACAGACTAACACCTATGATACACAGGATATAATTGGGCCATAATAAATTGCTTTGTCAGACCACTGGGAGGGAAGCATAGGCTTCATGAACCCCAGCTTCCCTTGGCTCTAAGGGTAACAACAACAGTGAGCTACCTCTTTCTCAAAGAAGTCTCCTATCTCAGAGTCTAAACTCTTAATGTTTGTTATGCACATGCAGTGCAGAGAGATGAAGCAAAATCAAGCAAAATGTTTTTTGACATCCGACCTTTTGCTTCTTGCACTGTAAATCAGGAGTGATGACGCTGAAGTCAATAGCCCAGAGTATCCT